ACACACTCACTCTCTCTCTCTCTCTCTCTTTCACACACACACACACACACACACACACGCACACACACAGAAGAATGACTCCAGTGCATTCATAAATAGTGTTTAATGGAGAGTGTGACGCTGAGAAACAGTGCAGGTCACATGACAGAAGTTCAGTGCTCGGTGTGGTTCTGCAGGGTCTTCATGGCGTGTCCCCACAGCGCTCCGCTGCTCAGCTCCTCGGGGCTCCTGCAGGAGGCGTCTGTGTCTGCGCGGCTGCAGTGAGAGCTGCGGTGTCTGCGCAGGACTGCGGTGCGTGTGAAGCTCTTGCCGCAGGTGTCGCAGGTGTAGGGCCGCTCACCTGTGTGAGAGCGCACGTGCCGCTGAAGATCACCTGACCCCGCGAAACACTTCCCTGCAAACACACCAGCGCTTCTGTTAGCGACGGCCGTGCCACGCATTCTGTTTGACAACACACTGATACCATACTTCTAAACTCACCTGAAAAATTATGACATTTATTACATTATTAAATTACTAAGAGTAAGTTTACACACTTAACTTTATATTTGAAACACATATGTGTCCCTGCAGCACAAAAGCAGTGTTAAGTCGCTGGGGTATATTTGTAGCAATAGCCAACAATACATTGTATGGGTCAAAATTATACATTTCTCTTTTATGCCAAAAATCATTAGGATATTAATTAAAGATCATGTTCCATGAAGATATTTAGTAAATTTCCTACCGTAAATATATCAAAACTTAATTTCTGCTTAGTAATATGCATTGCTAAGAACTTCATTTGAACAACTTTAAAGATGATTTTCTCAATATTTAGATTTTTTTGCACCCTCAGATTCCAGATTTTCAAATAGTTGTATCTTGACCAAATATTGTCCTATCAAATTTTATTTATTCAGCTTTCAGATGATGTATAAATCTCAATTTCAGACAAATTATGACGGGTTTTGTGCTCCAGGGTCACATTTTAACATTCAATACGCCTTAATTGCAACTTATTAGGTAATATTTTAGTCTACACATGGTTAATATGTTTACTGTAGTGGTAACTATGGAAATCTACAAACACTATAGCTGAACTACGGTCACTTCAGTAAAAGCAGGGTTTATTTTCATAAGGGACTGCAGTGACAGTAAAACAATCTTTTTATTCTGACGGTGTATGATTTATATTAACATTACAGAATAGAACATGATCAATATGAACTTTTAACGTTCGGTTTAAATAAATGTAATTGCACAAACTATGTAGGCTACAATTTCATTTAGTTTATTGTGAAATAACTAGCATATATGTTTCTCTGTCGTCTGATGAGAATTGTTCTGGGCTGCCGTTCCTAAAAGCATCAATGGTTTGTTACGACACTCGAGAGACGCGGCCCTGTTTGAAAGCACCGTCAGCAGTGAGTGAACGCCGTCTGTGAGCGACTGCAACATTAGCCTGTGTTCAGAGCAGCAGGAAAATATTCTATTCTATATCATTATTTCTCCAATTCAATGCATATTGTACACATTACATTTTTTTGTTAAATAAATCACTGGGAAATAAAACACACCTTAGTATTGATATTTTTCTATTGAGTATCGGTACTTTCAATGCTTGCATCAGCAGCGCTGGGAAAGTTACTATTAAAAGTGATGCGTTACAATGTTGCGTTACTTCCTAAAAAAGTAACTAATTACGTTACTTAGTTACTTTTTATGGAAAGTAATGCGTTACGTTACATTTGAGTTACTCTTGCAGCAGGAAAATATTCTATTCTATATCATTATTTCTCCAATTCAATGCATATTGTACACATTACATTTTTTTGTTAAATAAATCACTGGGAAATAAAACACACCTTAGTATTGATATTTTTCTATTGAGTATCGGTACTTTCAATGCTTGCATCAGCAGCGCTGGGAAAGTTACTATTAAAAGTGATGCGTTACAATGTTGCGTTACTTCCTAAAAAAGTAACTAATTACGTTACTTAGTTACTTTTTATGGAAAGTAATGCGTTACGTTACATTTGAGTTACTCTTTAAATCTGGGCGGGGCTTGCTTGTTTGTTTTTAACATAAAAAGTTCTTCTTTTACAAACGTAAAGCTCTTTCACACCAGAAGTGAAGTGAATGCTTCTCCGGCTGAAGGAAATGTAAATTCACGTCTGTACAGTAGAGGGCGCTGCTCAAACTAATCACATGAAGAATATGACGCAGGAGAAGAAAGTTCAACACTATTCAGCAATAACTAAAATTATACACAAATGTGTCGTTTTTGATTATTATTATGGCTGAAGTGGATCATCGAAGCTCAGCAGCAAAGACGGGATTAAATACATAAATAATATTTGTCTTATTTAACATTTATTGCAGGTTTGTATAATATTCTGAGTTTGCATTTGACTGTTTTTATTGATTTTGAGGAACACTGAATCTGTTTTTGAGTAAACATGTTGATATTGAGTCTCGAACTACAGTAAGATCATGTTCTCACACAACGCTCTGCACTTACTCCTGATTTCTGTCACCATGGCAACACCAGAGCTGTCACTCAACACATGGAAACAAAGTAACTGCTGTTACTTATTTGAAAAAGTGACTCAGATATTTCCTTCTAAATTAAAAAGTAATGTGTTACTTTACTAGTTACTTGAAGAAAGTAATCTGATTCCGTATCTCTGGTTACTTGCCCTGCGCATCAGTGTGATATATCAGAGCGCTCACCGCAGGTCTGGCAGCTGTAGGGTTTGTCTCCGCTGTGCCGGAGCTTGTGTTTGAACAGCTTCCTCTGCATGTTGAAGGATTTTCCGCACTGCTCGCAGGTGAACTCCTTCTCCGTGCTGTGCGTCTTCTTGTGCTCCTTCAGGTTGCTGAAGTTGCTGAAGCCTGCCGGACAGAAGCGGAGGTCAGCATGGCTCTGTCTCTCGCAGCGTTCGATCGCTGACGGCGCTCACCTCGTCCGCAGATGTCACACAGGTGCGGCCGCGCTCCCGAGTGGATGATGATGTGCCGCTGGACGTCTCCGGACGCTGCGAAGCTGAAGCACACAGACAGTCATTCCCTGAAGACTACCACTAAACATCTCCACGCATCACAGCAGCTGCTTTATATCACACGCTCTCTGGAACGGTATGTTTATATGTGCAAATGATGCAGAATATCATTAAATATGCACATAGTTGCATTCAGTTCCAGCACATAAATCTGATCATTGTATAAAGTCAGGTTCATAATTCTGATTTTGTCGTCATATTAGAGTTAAAGGTTTTTCCAGAGAGGATTCTGGATTTTTGGCAGATTTCTTTCCACTAGACTTTGCCGTCTTTCCACAGTGCATGCAACAAACTGGTTTAGTGTGCGTGTTCAGTCTGATTCCTCTCTCACAAGATGAACGCTCACCTCTTCCCACAGAGCTCACAGATGTACGGCTTCTCTCCTGAATGTCTGCGCAGATGCGTCTGCAGGTTTCCTGCCTGCAAACACACAGACACATGAACGCATGCAGCAGGAACGCATCAGGCGTGTGTTTGTGTGTTTACATACCTGTGAGAATCCTTTCCCACACACGTTACACTGGAACGGCTTCTCACCTGCAGAGAGAGACGAGCAGCTGTGTGAGAGCTGAGTGTGTGTGTGTGTGTGTGTGTGTGAGAGTGTGTGTGTGAGTGTGAGTGTCTGTGTGTCTGTGTGTGT